TTTTAGCAGATTCTCTTAAGTCCTGATGTTACTGCTGGCATAGATGGTCATGCTTTCAGAATGTGAGAATTTCTAATACAGCAGGTTACATCTGGCCAAAGAGAAGGGGTAGGATAACACTGACAGAATAAATAAGTACCTCTTTAAAACTGGAGGTGAATTTTATCATTCTTTAAAGGTGTGCAATGAGTAGATTGCAGGCTAAAGACATTTCCTTCAATAAAATGTACTTAGACTTTTCAAAATTTTACTCCTTTTGATTCACTGTGGTTAAGGTTTTGATTCACTGTGCTTTCTCCTTTCTCTTATTACATCTTGCTTTCACACCTTTTGGCTGGCAAACAGATACCCACAGTGATATCCACAGGCAGGGAACAAGCTGCAAGGCTGCATCTCAATGGCAAATCCCTGCCAATTATATTAAAACTAATTATAAATCTCTTTCCTGTAAAATCATAACCCTAGCTGAAAATAATCCACATCCCAAATAGAACATGGTTTACATTTTAAAAGAGACTTTTCCCCAAGGTTAAATTTTAATGTCTCAATTGCACATATTCTCAGAAAATAAATTGTTCAATTGCAGCACGCAGTTTTAGTTTAGTTAATTCTAAATTCACACACCTTTACTAAAATCATCAGTGAAAATGAAATAGTTCAGTTTTAGTACTAAATCATACTCCACACAGTATTGCATTTCCAGGAGATACATCATTCTACAGTAACCATTTCATTCATCTGGTATTGTTACAGAGTGTAAATCAGGATTCATAAATGAGCAGTTTGTATCCTTTGGGAGGGAGGGATTACATGTAAATAATCCCTTTAATGTACGCATTGCCTCTAAGCATTTCACACAGCAATAAATTGGTAAACTGAATTTGAGCAATTAAGAAATTAAATGAAACTAATAAAATGTGTATTTTAATATTTCTTGGTGGTTATTTGGGGATTAGTGAATATGAAAACAGCCACCCTCCTTCTGTATGAAGGTAAACGGCAGCACTTTGATAAACTCTGTCAGCTTTTCACTACTGTATTTCAATCACAATTTCTCTTTTGAAATACTTCAATATACCTATCATTCCATGGCTGTATTATTAACTGCATTAAACTATGAAATCTAAGTACTCATTTCAAATACAAGTAATCACACATCCCATAGTGAATGGAAACAAGAAAAACTACCCCAGAACATGCTACTTATAAAATGATTAACCCAAAATGTTTGAGGTAGGAAAGGCACCATGACAAATGCAGTTTTGCTTCACTCTTCTCCACTCCACATCTGCCTACTCCCACCTCCTCAGAAAACAGCCATCCTAAAAGGGCAGCCTGAGCAGAAGTGGAATGAGAAAGTAGGTGCACAGGAATAAACTGCTCTAACATAAGAAACACAGAAAAGTGTGGGCTTTATAGGGTAGGACATTTACCAGACATAGACCTTGGCCATCTTCCCTTGTCTTCAGGAAACAAGCAAGACAATCTGATCTGAGGAGCCAATTGTGAAGGAAAGTAAGGGAAATTCAAACATACTATCTATGACAAGTACTATGACAAGTTCATGATTACTCTTGCTGAGCCAAGGCAAAGAGAATTCTAAACGTTCAACTTGGAATTTTACATACATTCTATCAAGGTATTTAAAAAATGCCCTAAAAATAAAGACATTTTTTAAAAATAAAATTGTTCAGGTTACGGACAAGTTAACTACACCAGTGCTGTAAATATGAAACATCAGAAAAAAAAGCAATTATATTTTCCTTTTCTGCATATCAGATTGTAAGAAGAGCTATAATCTAATTTGCCTTTACCGTCAATCTTAAGCTGAACTCAGGATCATTCAAAATGATGCTAGGACCTACCTATACTGTGGACTAGTACGGCAATATCAACAAACATCCCTGAAAATATAAGTTCAACCTCAGGTGACAAAAATAGAGAGAAACCATGAACAACCGACTACTAGAAGTAGCAGTTTAGTAGTGTGCTTCATTTCAGCCTGTAGCCTGAAAAATAGACTGTAAAAAGAAATATCAGTCTTTCAGGAGATTGTATATAATTGCACAGGTTGGGTCTTTTCATTAGCAAATTTACTTTTCTTCAGATTTACAGCTCTGAGTGTAACAAAATCTTTGTCACATGGTGCAGACTTAGGAGATTTTTTTCACCATGGAAATTAGTTTGTTTTTAGTCAGTGGAAACCAATTCAGTAGTACCCGCTGAATTTGCTGCTGGGACAGCCACCTTTTCGGGGTCTTAGAGACCAACAAAACACTAATCATGTGTCTAACACTAAACCTGCGCTGCAGTTTCCTCAAGGTAAATGGGATGCAAATGAATGTTAGGTTGTTTTGTTTAATATGGATGATCTCATGCACCTTTGAACTGTTCTGTTGCCAGCTGCCAGCTGCCACTTACCACTACCAGAGAAGTCAGTTTTATAGGACATAGATTGGATCATTTTAAACTAATCTCTGCAAAACACCCCCAGTTCATTGGGAGGAGGAAAAAGTGTTCGATAATGCCACCTCTGCAAGTTGCTTGGATGGGTGGAAGAAAGTAGGAGAAAAGCCCAAGGTACTCTACCTGACACTGTAGCCGTACAGCTTATGTTTTACTTCCATAACCATTTATAAAAAACACAGCAAAATGAACAGCACTGAGCAGCTTGTGCTCCCTATCATAATGTATGACCTCCCAGTACCTCATGTACAATAATACCTCCCTGAAAATCAAGCTGTATTGCTTCTGCTTTTTTGTACAACATTTTCATGACTAAGAGCAGCAAGTGACAACATGTCCTTCAGTAACTGAGATTGATTATTGGTGCCTCAGCACATCCATAATCATGATGCATACAGCATGGAGAGATGAAATTACTTTCATATACTGACCTGATTGGTAGAAACTCCTTCTTTTCCAGCTGAACTGAATATGTATAGAATGCATGCAATATGCTCTAGAGGAAGGAGTATTGCGCTAGCTCGTGCCTTGAGTGGCTCTGAGCAAGACGAATCATGCATGCTCACTTAATTTGTTACTCTTCAGTCACAGAGGTCACATAAATTTACCAGTGGTTACCACTCTGTAGTATCTGAGATACTATTGTTTTATTATTAACAATAGTGAGATTCTGAAAGAAGAATCAGAAATGACTGTGGTACATGGCAGAAAGTATGGCACCTGTAGGTCTGGATTTTATTGCAGTAACATTGGTTTTACAGCTGGTTAACTGTACTGACTTCAAAAGAATTGCTGTAGATTGTTACTAATGAAGTGACTGTGGAGTGTGAACCTCTCTAGCTGCTTACAGCAACAGGAAACTGAAAATTCTTTGGCACAAAAAGATTTTTTTTCTTTGCTTTGCTTTTCCAGCATATTAGACAATACTTTTTTATTTTAATGTCATTTGTAAAAATCTCAGAGGGTGTAATATTTTAAAGAGGTCACTGTTATGCCATAAAATCCCGGAGGTTATAAAAATATCTATGATATCGGTAATTCATATTTGGTAACTTCTCAGTTTGGTGAATAGCGAAACGATTTTGAACTTCGGTGACTTTTCTAAATCAGAATCATCGTATCCTCCTGGAGGATGTGATTCCTGGGAAACAAGGAAGAATTTGCCTTTTCAAACAGGCATATCAATTGCCTTTGCTATTCTTCCTGAACTGAGCAATACTGTCTAACTGTGGTATTATTGCAACAACAAAAGTTAGTGCTATGGTAAATCTCATTAGATTAAATGGATTAAGCAGCACTTCAAGGCTGTGGAAATGGACAGTGCACTATAAACTCCTTAGTGATTAACAGTGATTAAAAATGCTTTTTAAGGTGAAATATGGTTACAAATAGCTCAGCAACAGAAAAAAGCAGTAATATATCCATGCAATAATGAATTTTCTATATAAGGATTAACACACCAAATTGCAGATAGTTGAATAAGCATTTATTATCCATTTTCTGGTTATTTAATTTTTCTCTAAATACTAAGCTACATGTTATGCAACAAGGAAGATTAGAGATGATGTATAAAACAGAACACAACAATCACCAGACTGTACTACAGCTTATAAAATAATACACCAAAAAGAAAGTGAAATACAATGCAATGTGGTATCAACATTAGAATAGGGTTTCCTCTGGACTAATTTGTATGATAGCTCACTCTCTATAACTTTTACATATCACAGGACTTCTGAATATTGAACTGCTTTGGTAGAAATACTGCATTCTTTCCCAATCCATCTTACTTTAAATTTTAGTTCATATATTTCAAGAACAGATACAGAAATTGAAACTCCTGCTGAATAAAGTTTTGTATATATTAGTAGAAAGAGGAGAAAGAAAAACTTATCTTCAATAGTGAATCTGATAGAACAAAAAGTCTTTCAATGACTTACACACATATAGACACACACTGCATCATGTAACTCATTTAGCATAGGTTACCAAAAAAAAAAAAATCCATGAAATTACAGCAATCTTCATTAAACTGTTGACATCGATGGAGGCACTTTCAATTTAGTCCAATGTGGGACTACAGAATGAGATTCAAATTACCCTTTCAGCAAACATTATAAGGAAAGTCTTTGTAGTGTCTCCCCAAAGGCTAGGGTCAACTTTTCAAAAGTAGCCTTTGATTCTGGATGCTCAGCCTGAGACAGCTCTTTGGAAAATTTTGCCATGGATATAAAATCCTTCATACCTTTATGTTAGGCAGCTATCAGCTAGAGAGTTTTCCTGTTGGGGCAGGGTGGGGGGTTGTAGCCTTCTGCAGCTGACATAACGTGGCACCTAGTCTGTCAGGAGCAAGTATATGCAAGGCAGCTAACACTAGCACTAGGTATTATACAGATATCTTTGGACACTTGCTTTTGCTCAACTCAGCTTCCATTTTCTCTCATACTTTTCGTTTTATTTTCTCTTCTTCTTGTACAGAGATTGCCCATGGCAGTTCTTTGCTATGCTCTATAACCTGAGAATGAAGGAATTAAAGATCTTTGTACAAGCCTCTGTGACCCTGTGCCAGGCTGCAAGGGGAGCCCTTCCAATGTTCTAAGAAATTTGCAGTCTAAATCCTGAGTGAGACTATGGTTTTATGGGATGAAGCCTGTAAATTAAGGTAGATACTCCTATTGATTCTGTCTTTAAGAGTGTATCAGAATGGAAGGAAATTGGGGCACTGGCTAAAAGAACAAATTTCACAGCTTTCTCAAACTACTTTCTAAAACATATTTGTGTTTTACAAAATTGAGTAACAGAAGAAAAGATTCTCGTGTTCCTTTGGGAAAGAGGAGAGATTTCTCATTCACTTTCCCTTAATCACTCTGGAAAATATTCCCAGAAACTCTCTTTTGTTTAAATGATTATTCTTGCATTTCAAGCCAGCCCATCTCAAGTCATTCATAGGTCTTCTGTACTTTACATTGTCTCTCTTTCGTTCAGTATCTTTTTGTGTCCCTCTGGAAAATTCCATCCTTTTTTATTGCTACTCAGAACTGGAGGTCACTCCAAGTTTTGAAATCCACCAAAGTGGCTACTGTGTATTACTACATTCAAATATAACAGCTGAAAGGTTGCTGCCAAGATGTTTAGCTTCTGTTTTATGAACTATGAGGAAGACAGGAAAATAAGAGCACATAGAAAAGCAAAGCCTGAAACTGCAAAAGTTATATATGTTGCAAACAGATACTATCTCCATATAAATGCCTTCCTCTTAAAAGTGATTAGTCATATTGATCACTTAGAGTAATACTTTCCACAGCCAGATTATTTCAGGATTCACAAATGTGTTGGTGGAGTGGGACATGCTGATTGTTCTGGCTATCTTTACAGCTGCTTTTTTGCTCTTCCTTCTATGCTAAATTAGCCACCTGCCCACAGCTGTAGATTCTAAATATTGCAAATTTCATAAATATGTTGGGTTGAGTCTTTTTATTCTTTCAGTTGTTTTACATTGGTCTTGGCTGTGAAATATTCCCTTCTCTGAATACTTGTACATCTATATGATTAATGGAATAGAGATGGATCATTCAGTGCATTGGGGTGTCCTCTGGGCACCCTGTATCCTGCTACATTAAGGACAAGCCTCATAGTTTGTATGCCACTCCTTTTAATCACAACATTGCTGTTGTCAGCAATCAGTGAGCCTTTTGCAAACATCCTGGAGCATCCTTTTCTCTTCATAGCTCTTGTCCTAAGCTACAGTCACAATGTTTGGAAGTGGAAATCACCTGTTAGCTTCTGTTGTGGAAAAAATTTCCTTCCTCCTGCACAAAAATCCATTATTCTTGAAGAAAACATAAATTTAGCTTAGTACTCCATTTGTTTTCTAGCAGCAAAATGAATGACCTTGTTCCAGTTACATTTACAGTAAAAATTATAGCATTTATAGTATTTGAGTAAAGTGACTTTTGTTGTTTTATTTATGAATATCGATTTCTGCATATAGATACCATTTCTGCTTTACTCTTACTTTTTTGGTGAATGAGCACCAATATTGGCTCTTAGATGAACCACAGCAGGCACTGCATAAAGTACTGCTGAGACTGTAAGAAAGCTCTTTTAATATGATTTAGTAACACAATGCCAACAAGGATGAGAATGAAATATTTCTCTACGAGGGTTACTTCTTACACACATTGATGCCTACAAAAGTTTTATTATCAGAAATCAGCAAGCTTTCAATCAGACTTTTTGGAGTTCTAAACTCACTATAAGGGAAAAAATCCTCTAAACCTCATGGACATGCAAGGGGTGTGACTCCTTTCTTCTTGACACTTTCAGATACTTCAAGTGTTTTATTTTGCATTTCTTCAAATACTAAAAGAAAAAAAATGGCTCTAGAGCAGCAGTATATTAGGCACCCCAACACTATACCTGAAAGAGGCATTCCTAGGGTAGATCTAAGGTTTTGTTCCTGTGGTTTGCTGCTGCCAGTGAGATGCTAACAGATACTATATGGGCTGTTTCCCCTCCGTTGATCATATCCGTCCACTACAGACAGAGTGGAAATCAGTGATCACACTTCTACTACCTCCCTGACCTCCACCATCCACAGCCACACTCACACGTTTCCCTCAAAAAAACCCCAACCAAACAAAAAACACCAAAGCAAAAAACTCACAGCAAAATAAAAAAACAACCACCAACCACAAACCCATGGGGATTTTAATTTCATCAGTTTTACACATTCTAAGAAAAATGTTGCACTTACTACCGTTCCAGATTTAAGAGGATTAAGGTTAATATGGAGCTAAATCACATAACTTTTGTTTGGGGGAAAAATGCTCAAGGGAAAAAGTAGCCAAAAATCACAAACTTCATATCAAGCAGAGATACAGATAGTCCAAGATGCATAGATGGTTTTGACTTTAATGGAACAGAATACAGAGAGCCTTTCATATTCAAAGCACTCTGTAGACTAAAAGGACTAATTGTATTCAAATGTGACATCTATTAGGCATTCAGAAATAAATCAAACATTGCATTGGATAGTGGGCATCTTTTAGATGGGATATGTTTTACATGACATTACTTGATTTGATTTGATTTATTTTATATATATTTATCATAAAATGATGTATCAGAATGTTCTGGGAAGGAAACATCTAGACAGAAATGAAATACATGCACCTCAATTTTGTCTTTTCCAACATTGGCACTGGTCTGAACTCTCTCACTGGTTTACAGTGTTTTTACTTATGTAACAACATAGAGCAAGAATTATCCAAGAGTATGTATATCTACTTCTGTTGCAGTGTTTGAGTTCTGAAGCCAATTTAGCATGATCATAAATGTAAATAAAAAAGAAACAAACCTATTTGGAACAAGTTTTATCAAGTACTCTACAGATTGTGATAGATTGGTTTGGGTTGGACAAGAAAACTAGATCCATCTGCTGTGCCATCAGTTAAGGAATGGAGATCTTCAAATGTGATGCAGTTGATTGCTTCCTATTAAATGTTCAACTTTTAGAAATTCACACAATGACCTGGGAGCATGTATATTCTCCCAACTCTGACATTTCTACTTGGCAGCCATGTTATTTTATTAGCATAGTGTCAGCAAACTGGATGTGTTGCTTTGAATTTCATCCATTATCCACTCTATTATGAGTGCAGTAACTCACAGACCATTTAGAGTACTGACTTGACCCAGTTAGAGAAAAGCAAGGAAAGTAAAAAGCAACAAAACATTAGTAAATATCTGCAGAAAGTCTTGGGGTGTTAGAAATGGCCCAGCCCACACAGAGTTGATATAAGACACATCACTGGTAGTTACGACGCTGCACTAAACTAATCTGATTCAGTAGCTCATTTTCTAATTTCTATCAGCAAATATATAATAACTTCTAGTAACTTACCACACCCTTCCACTTATCTTGAAAAAGCAACATCAAATCAAAATTACTACCAAAAAAAGATGAAAACTTATCAAATGTAAAATTAGATTAGGAGTCAATCAAAATCCAAATTCAATGAATTTCAATGAATGGTTTAAAATCTGTTTGAAATCTATTTGAAAATGAATATGTAAAAATTCAGACATATCTCTTTTTCAAAGCTAGTATTGTCAGATGTATTCTGTGCATTATAATTCATGAACAGGGTAGATGACTATTTGAGAAGTATTAAAATGAGCTGACTTTTCAATACAAGTGTCTGGACAATAAGTTTTTCTATTCTTGGCAATTCAGAAATGTAGACAATTGTGCTAGAAAAATAATATCTATTGTAATATTCATTGTACAGTAGTAGTATAGTAAGTGGCAATTCTGGACATTACAAGAGACACAAGGATTATTTTCTGTGATTGCACAGAGAATACTTGGATTTCTTGTGAAGCTTTTGCATTGGAAATGAGATTCATCAGTCTGAACAGGGCAGGGTTAGAGCCCTTAGCAACATGCTTATTTTGTAGAAGGTCACTCAATAATAACTTCCTCTGCCCTCCAAGCTTATTAAGACTGACTGGCATATATTAATGAAAACACCTGATTCTCCAACCATAAAACCCAGACAAAGACTTTATTTTAATATTAAGGAAGGAACCCTTAATTAGCAGGGTTTCAAAAATGTCAGCTTCTTCTATTAGCTGTTCTGGTCCATCAAAGCCATAATCCCTACTGTCAAATTTCATCACATGATAGACAGTTTGCTGGCTATCTTTTCTTTTTTTTTTTTTAACTGATCATACTGACTGAAGCTTTTTATTTTGCCATCACATTTAACAAGTTTGCATGCATTTCGTTGTTGCACTGTTGATTTTACTCCTTTCAAAGTCTGCCTGTGTCAGCTAAAAGAAGAAAAAATCTGGGAAAACATAAAATATTACATATTGATACACAGACATATAATTAAAGAGTTTTGGGGAGAGTTTTCATTCATAATATTGATTCTTTTCTAGGGCATGCAAATATGCTTCTGTAAAAACACAAAGAAAAAACACTGTTCACAGTTGAATTTCAATTTCAAACATGTTAAGAGAAGAAAAAAACAAATGCTTGAAACGTTGTGAAGACCTTTGGAGAGGCATGTTCTTCAGAATTAACCCACAATACATCTTCATGCTGCATGAAATTTGTTCAAGTAGATATTGCTTGCATTGCGCTTCAAAAGAGGGATTGTGTTAAATTTAACAGAAATAAATATACCAATTTAAAAAGATTTATATTCTAACTTCACTCAGGATTTTCTTGTTTAATAAATATTCGCATTCACAGGAAACCAAATCTATTTCTTTTGCTTAAAAAAATGCAATAGAAGATTACTGTCCTGTCAGAGACTTCTGAACTTCCCATCTATACTCTCTCAAACATGGTCTCTGGATTTGATAAAGCTGTATTTTCAAAACCAGCACACAGGTATTTAGTTCACCTATGTAGATTTTCTCCTCTTTACCAATAAAAGGAAAAATTATATAGAATTTGTAGGATTACACTGTAGTTAGATGAAGTACTCTCCTATGCTCTTTTCATGCCTGTTTTTTCTTC